TTAGTAGAGACGGGGTCTCGCTCTTGCTCAGGCTGGTCTCGACCTCCTGAGCTCAAACAATCCGCCCGCCTCGGCCTCCCAGAGAGCTAGGATTATAGGCGTGAGCCACCGCGCCCCGGCCCTGAATTTATAGAATTCTTAATTCTGTCTCCCAGCTGTGCATGCAAAAAATGTTTTTACTTTTTTCATGCAGCATTCCTTTGACATCATTCTGTAGTGCACACTGAAGAATTGTGTTTCTCATGTTGTGTGTGTACGTTTGTGTGTATTTGTGTAACTGTGTATTTTATAATGTGATCATAGCATTTATTTAGTTCTTCATTGTGCTCTATTGTCGCTATTAACAGTAAGCTTAGTGCCAGTTTCTATTTGGAGAGAAGAATGGTCATGCAGTGGTTGAATTTCACTATACCCCCTGCCCCCGCCACCTACCATCCAATTATATTTGGGCAATGACTGTATTGTGTGAGGTTGAAGAGAGCCATGTGAGAATTCTGATTAGCTTAGGAGGAACTGAATGGTGGTGGTATTACTTAGCAGTATTGAATCAAATTCCTCTGTGTCCCCAAATACAGCTGGAAGGGAAAGGAAGGAAGATCATTTATATGGGTCACTGACTTCATACCTTCACTAATTTTTTGTTGTTGTTGAAATAAAACTTTAAATAGGTTTAAGGTTCATTTAGTGATCCTTTGTGTAAGTGCCTGTGGGGATATTTAATAAGTACTTTTTAGTATCCAAAGGGCCAACTACTTGTTCCTTATTTCAAGACATTTAGAAAGAAAATGTGGCCACCTACATTGAATTGTGTAGTTAAAATCCTAGAATCCTTCACATGGTCAATCCAGGGCTGCCTTTATTGTTTTTCTTTTTTTATTTTTTTTTAAAGAAGTATTGTGGGAATTAATTTTTTTTTCCCAAAGACTAGAATGATTATTCTTTGTTTGGAAATTCAGTTTGCAGTTGAATTAAGCTCATAGAAGGTTAAGAGCCGCTTGTACCTCCCCTCACCTAAAATGCTTACATTTTAAATAGTCCTCCGGTCACCTCCTGAGAAAGCAGGTTATTTACCTATGGCCCAGTCAGATCCTAAAGCAGACAGTGTCACTTTGTGTTGTTGATGATTTTAGGTATACATTACAGGTTTAATGCATGGTATATTATTTTTATTTTTTAATTTTTATTTTTTTGGTACTAGTTTTGGACCAATCGAATACAAAGGCCCCATGAGTGCTGTTTACATTGAGAAGTTTGTCCGCCGGGTGATGAAACCACTTCTCTACATCCCATCTCAATCAGAATTACTAGATTTTCTCTCAGACTACGAGGTACCTGTCTTTCATATCTCCTCCATACCCACGGCCTTTCACTGGTTGTATTGGATTGTTTGTATTAAAAGTTTTTTTTAATACCTCCTGAATTGCAGCAATTTAAAGGTCACATTATAAATAAGCCCCAGTTAAATGCTTTTTTAGCTACTGGTAAGGGTGGTTTGGCCAAGTGGATTTTAAGAGAATAGGATACTTGCAAAATCTTGTCTGTTCTTTGGGAATTTTCAGTAAACTTTCAGCTTGCCTCACAGTTAACTTAGAGTGCATGAGAATTAACTTGCAATTTATGTACAGCTGCAAATTTCTATGCATGTTGTTTGAAACATTATAGCATTGTACTATGAGATGCCTGGCTTTTCTTCCCAGTTACAGTTTAACTTGTTTTTTTTAAACTGGAAATATGTTCCTTTCCGTTTTATTAAGGGCATAACTATTTTAGGGTCTTATTTACAGAAAGTTTCCTAACTTTCCCAACATGGCTTCTCTTCTGCTTTCCCATTGCCATCTTTAATCCTTGATAAATTATTTTTACAGGATCTTTAATGCATATTCAGGACAGTTTATTATTGAGAGACCAGTTTTGGGATAATTAAAATATGTAGTCTCAAAAAGTTATAAAAATAGTTCCACAAAAAATTCAATGGTGCAAGTGTAAAATCATACTTGGGTTACAACAAGTAAATACTTGATACTTAGGTACAACAAAAATCAAGACCATAAATAGCTGATAGAGATTAAAAAACATATGAACCTTAGCCTCACTGACGATTTGGAATTGTGACTGGTTGAATTTTACCTTT